TGGCGTCCTAGGTGGGCAGACATGGCCCTCCCTCCCAGTCTCAAGTACCATCCCAGCATTTCCAGACCACCACCACCTGGGCACCCAGCAGTCTGCCCAAGAACTGCCAGGCACCCTCCACCCGACTCCCTCCTCCAGCCCACCTGTGCCCATGCTCAGACACAGGCACAGGCACAGCCAGCAAGGGCAGGAGGCAGACAGACAGATGGGCTGACAGACCTCCACCCGGCCTCCCTCGTTCCCGACAGGAATCCTGGGCGCTGACTCACCGGCTGGGTGATTCACACCCTCTTGCATCTGTGTGTGTGTGCCTGTGTATGTGTGTGTGTGCGTGCACGCACGCGCATGTGTACGGCCGTCTGCACGCCTACAGTCTGCGCAGCCTTGCAGATCCCTGCTTCCTCCTCCCCGACTCCTGCACACCCACACAGCCACGCTGCTGTGCACACTCAGACCCCCGCCCCGGGGGCCCTCGTGCCCCAGCTGGCTGACCAGCACCCTGGGAACCACGGCCCCATTCCCAGAACTGGGACTTCCCCAAGCCCTTCCTCTGCCCGCTGGGACAGGGCTTCTGAAGACTTTCCTTCAGAAATCCCCTCCCACAGGGGAGAAGTCCCCTGCTCCAGGCCTGCCGCTGTGAGCCCCAGTGCAAGCTTATCAAGTCCTTTGCTGGATTGTAAAGATGCACAGACACTCTACTCCAGTCTCTGGCTGTCACACTGAAACCCTCTTTCGGAAAACACACACACACAAACAAGTTGTTCACCGCCCCCTGCATAAACAAAAAAACCTTCTAGAAATGTGGCTATCCGCGACAGTATCCCACCTCTCTGGGCTGTGTGACTGGGAGCCCCCAAACACACCACCATGCCACCCTTGTGAGGGGGAGGCGGTGTCTCAGACCCTGGCTGGCTCCTTCCAGTGAGGGGTCTTGAGGCTCCTTCTAAATGCCACAACCAGTGACAGCCCCTTGTCTGCGTGAGTAAGGGCCCCCGCATCAGGGAATTCCCAAGGAATTCCCTGCTATGGGCTCCAGTACAGCTCACCCCCCACCCCCCCAGGTCATCAGGAGGAAGGGGAAACAAGTGAGCTGAGGCCCCAGTGTGGAAGAGCCCCTCCCCCTCATCCCCAGCACAGGAAATGACAGAGAACAGGAAAAGCCAACCAGAAGACTGTCTTAGTCTCCCTCCCCCGCCCCCCACTTCTCAGGTGTCTTTCCCTTTCCCTCCCCCCACCCGCCCCATGATCCCAGAGGGTCTGTGGGGAAGAGAGAGAGTGCACCTCCCCCTCCCTGGCCAACCCCCCTACCCGGGACTGGGGAGACAAGACAACGCAGGTGCTTCCGGAGGGGGGGGGGGCTTCTCCTCCTCCCCTGGGTCGTTTCTCAGTCTTGACATGCCTCCCTCCTAAGGTCAAACCACAAACAAAAACAACCGCTCCCCACTGGCCTGCAGACTCCCCCAAGAGACTGAGGACTTGGGGTCCCAAGTGGGGTGCACTGGAGCACCCTCATACACACTGACCACAGAGACACTAAGACATAAACACACACACACACATACACAAAGGACAAGCACCATCTTCAAAGCCCGCCCACAACCCTGCTGGGAGACCCCAGCTTTCCCAAGCTCCAGATGCCACCCACTTACAGGGCGCTGAATGTCTAAGTCCCCTCCACCCCCACCCCCAAATGCCTACTCAGTATCTGCACCTGGCGGTCCCCTAGAAACAGAAAATTCCACAGGCCCCAAATCGAACTCTCCGGCTTCGTTCCCCAGCCCCCAGGCCATCTGTCCCCTCTTCCTGTGTTCCCTATCTTAGTAACTGCACCACCACCCACCCACTTACTCGAGCCAGAAACCTGCACCCATCCTCATCCCCTGCCTCCCTGCCCAGCCAGCCCCTGAAGTGCACATTATTAGCTCATTCAATCCACAGGAGCCCAGGCGGCGCAGGAAGTGCCGGCAGGCCGCCGTGGGAGGCCATGGGCTAAGAACCTCGGCTCCAGGCTTGAGGGTGACCCCTGGCCAGGCTCCTCAGCTGGGTGGTCCTGGGCAAGTGACTGAACCTTTCTGCAGGAGGGGGGAGGGGGCATCCTCCCCTCCCCCAGCTGTCCGAAAAGCTCACCAGGTTGAAAGTCAATGTCAAGTTCTCAAGAGCACACGCTGTGAATGTCAATGTCACCGGTGAAGAGAAAGGGAAGCAAGGCGAAAGGAAGCAAAGAATGCCCCACCACCACCACCACCACCCCATCCCCCACCCCCCCAGACCCCAGGCAGAGCTGAATCTAACAGCTACCAAGTTGAGTGGCAGAAGCCCGACACAAGACTATATTTGAATGGCATTCATGAAAAGGCACAAATCAATCCGCGATGATACAAGTCACTCTGGTCCCCGAGGGAGGGAGATGCACTGGGAAGTCATGGGGCTGGGGCAAGTTTTGGGGTGCTGGGAATGTTCTATATTGATCTGAGTGGTGGTTGGATGGATGCACAATGCAGTGAACGTTCACTGGGCCGCGTACTTAAGATCAGTGGACGTGTTACATTTTATGAAAGTCACCTTCAATTTAAAAACTTTATTACCCTTATCATGTTTCGGTGCCCACACTGCAAATACAATCCATGTCCTCTGCCTTGCCTTTTCCTCCCCCAGCCGGGCTTCACCCCTGCAGCCAGAGTGATCTTATGAAACCACGGACCGACCTGCCATCTCGAGGCTGAGACCCACCCCATGGCTCCCCACTGCCCGTGGGCACCAGCTCAGAATTCTGCAGGAGGTCTGAATTCTGCAGGCCTGGCCACTGCCCCTCACCGGGCAAGACCTTGCCCAGCTGAGTTGGAGTTGTCATGTCCCCGCTCAGCTCACCTGGCTTCTGCACAAGCTGCTTTTCCTACACCTGGGACATCCCAGTCTGATCCCCCACCCCCAACGAAAGCAAACCTCCACTGGGCCTCCAGGAGCCTCAGTTGTGGGGTGCTTGAAACAGCTGTTAGCCAAAAGGCTGGCGTTTCAAACCCACCGACTGCTCCAAGGGAGTAAGACGAGGCTCTCCGCTCAGAAACCTAGGGGGACAGCTCTGCCCTGTCCTACAGGGTTTGCAGTCAGAATCGACTCGATGGCGATGGCGGCGGGTTAATGTTTGGTTTTCTGGTCCTATAGAAGCCACCCCCACCCCCCAAACACATACAGAAGATGCCTCACGGGGTTGCCTCCAGGTTTGGGGTTCTCCTGTCACACCACAAGCGCACAGTTGTCTCCCTGAGCCAGGCTCCCAGCAGCTGTCTGGCTCTCATGGTGCCCAGCCCCTAGGAGGCCAGAATCAGGCATAGAGCAGGCTTTCACGGAACCATCAAGAAGAGGGGGTGGGCAGCCAGCCTGTATTACCCATCACCACAGAGATGATGGGAACAGGCCGTCTCCTGCTCCGGTCACAGTTAATTCCAGGAGGAGGTCAGATGCTCATCCCTCTGTCGGTCTCACCGGGAGTGGTACTGAAAGGGGAGGGGCAAGGTCAGGCAGGTGCCAGTGTTGGCATCTCAGGAGGCTTCCATCCCCCCCACCAAGAATAAACAGGAGAGAAGTCAGGAGAGCAGGTCCAAGCCAGTCTGTCAGCGGGACTCTGAGATGTCACAAACAACTTCAGGTGAGGAGGCCACAACTTCCAAGGCTGCAGACAAGCAAACGGAGGCAGCAGGTTCTACGGGGCACCCCCGGCAGGACCTGCAGATAGTCTTTGTCAAGTAAGGAAGAAAGAGTTCTGGAGCCTGGTGTTCCTACCTGGGCACCCAGAGGGAGGCAGAGGCAGGGGGCCGGACAAAAAGAATGAACTAGAGATCCAGAAAGGCCAACTCAGAAATAGGAAAGATAGTGAAAACCGTCCAAGAAAAGTGTCAGACCGCTCATGAGTCAGAGGGCGGGGAAGGGGTGCTCAGCAGCTACCCCAGAATCCAGATCCTGACCATGGCACTGCTCCTAGGGTAGGCACAGCCCCTTCCAAGGGTCCTGGGATTAGGAAAGCGCCCGGGGACACAGAAACTCCACACTCTCAAGAAGTCCCGGAGAGCGGCCCTGAGCTAAAGAGAACCAGGCTTCTTCCAAGACCTTCTGGGCCCGAGACTCAGCCTCCTCACCCCACTCCCCACTCACGCCAGCACACACAAGGACTGAGCCCCAGACAAGGAGGGTTGACCCTCCTCACACGACTCACAACTGCCCAGACACTCATGCCCCACTATGCAAATTCTGTGAAGGCCACCTCACTCTCCTGGGTACCAAGAAGCCCAAGGCCTGGGTCCCTAATGCAAGTTCTTGGGTCTTCTCAGAGCCTCTGAAAAGGTACACCAACTTCTCTGCCCACACGTTGGCCATGCCCCAGGGATGGAGCTGGGGAGAGGGGTGCCTTCAGCTTCCTCCAGCAATCCAAAGAACCCGTCCTTTTAGCCTCAGAGCTGCTCCTTCCAGGGGCAGCCCTTGGGGTCATATGGCCCCAAGTCCTCAGGAACGACTTCCTAGGGGAAAGGGGCACACCTCCGAGCACCAACTCTGGCCCCTAGTGGACCTGGATGGAAAATCAGACTGGGCAGTCCAGAGATGGCAGCAGCCACGGAAGCCTTGGCACACCCCTCCCCCACCCATCCCGCTGAAAGTGATCCTGGGGGAGGGGACAGCTCTTCAGCCTTGGCCTCCAGGGCCTTGGCACTAGGGAAGTGCCAGACGTTTCTTGGCTACACCAGGCACTAGCTCCTGCGGCAGGGAAAGGGCCCCTAACAATGACTGCTTCCTTCGACGACGGGGGAGGCCTCCGGTGCCGGCGCTCATTCATTCATCCACTCCAATCAAATATTTATCCAGCACCCCCGACTGTGCCAAAGCACCGGGCACGCAGGGAGCAACACAAACACAAGTTTAGTACAGGGAGGTGCAGCGCCACAACACAGGCTGCGTTGGGACTTGAGGGCGAGCTGAGAGGCGCGCTGAAGGAGTCAGAGCGGGCTTGGGCACGGAGGCTACCAAGGGTTTCAGTAGGAGTGACAATACCAGATTTGCATTTTTTAAAGATTACTCAGCACCGGGGCTGAAGGGGGTGTGACCGGTTAGACGGATCTGCCAGGTCTAGGTGAGAGATGACAGGACATAGGAGAAAGGGGAGTGGCCCTGGAGACCGCTGGATGTGGAGGCTGACAGGGGGCTGGGTGCCTAGGACCTCGGGATGGGGGAGGCAGGCGATGAGTTAGGCTCCTGAGGGCTGTGAGACATCGGGATGGAGGTGGCTGGCTGGTAGTGGGCAGCAGAGTGGAGGGGGAGCTCCTGTGTGAGCAGCAGTGTGGGCTAGCGCTGTGTGTGATTGTGCTGGGGAGGCAGGCGTGATTAAGGAAGGGTGTCACTGGCAGGGGTGTGGGCATCTCCACGGCGGTGTGTGCCAGTGGAAAAAGAGGCCTTGGGGCGGGGAAACTGAGGACCCAGGGGAAGTAGGTGCTGGGGAGGGGAGTGGAAGTACGTGGGAGAGCGCCTTCGTGTGCTGGCTGGTAGCCGGTGTTTCGCCCGTGACTCACAGTGGTGGCCTCTGCGTGTGACGGTGACTGACAAACAGGTGAGCGTACAACACAGTCCCTCCTCCTTCCCTCCCCCTCCCTCCCGGGGTCCGTGACTCACGGTGCCTCCCTCCTTGCTCATCCCTTCAC